TCTGTCACTTTACTCTAGCGGGGTATGGCAAGAAAACTGGCTGCAAAGGAAAAAATTGTCATGCATGACTGAAATACAAGAAGAGGCCGAAAGAAGAACATAAGCAAAAAACCACCCACCCCCACACACACACACGCACACACACACACACACCCAGAGGGGCCGAGCTTTTCTGTTATTCATGCCGTGAAGCATAGTTTTAGGCGCCGCGCGGCACCTCTCGTTCGGGTGTCCGTCCGCCCGAATACGGTAACATGTGTATCCTGCCCTGCCCCATACCATACCCCATTGCTGGACACTTTTTCCTGCCCCAATTCGCCGGCCGTGTGTTTGTCTTTGAAGCGCGTTTTCCGCTTGTTTTTGCCATGTTTGGCATTTGGGATCCGGGGATGAGCTGTGGGCAAAAAGCGGGGTAAATTGAATGGCCAGCAGTCGGCAGTCGGCATCAGTCCCTGTTGTAATTGAGTTGGCTGCACAGAATGGGAATATAGGAATATAGTTTGGCCAATTCTGTCATGCACTGCACTGCGGAATAGTACATGGAGAAAATCCCTCGCCCGGGACGTTTTCCGGGCTAATTAATCATTTCTCACTTTTGTTGCCGGGCCACATGTTTTTTGAACAATTTTCCACAATTTTCCAACTCACAAATAATCAATTTCAATTGCCCATTGCCCATTGCAAGTGCAATTAAGTTTCTTGTTTTCCCTAATGGAGTTTTTATTTGTATAATTATATAATAATTTACAAAATCTAAAATGAAGGGAGTGTGTGGGTTTCTATGAGGGTTTGTGCCTGTGGATCATAGGATTTATTTATTAATATTTTTTAAATTTTATTTTGGGCTTCAAACCAGAGAAAACGGCCCCTACCTTTTACCTTTTTGTATATATTTTATTATATATTATTATTCTTTTAAAAGAAAGAAAGATCAAGATCTATATAGATCTCAGCTATAGTGACTTTATGGAAGCAAAATTTCAGCACAAAGTACCCAAAATCTGGTATATATCTCATTTAGAAAGGGTATTTTACCTCTGCCATATTTTTTCCGGGCATTAATTTATTTGTTTTTGCTTGGGTTTTGTTTTAATTGCAATTACAAGCACACTTTTAAATAAATGATGACAATTAAAACGCAGCTGCAATTAACATTCATTGAAATGTAGAGCCTATCAAATCTATACAAATATTATGATGGGATATCTCTTTCCCAAATAAAATCCTAAGCACAACCTCTATTAAAATATTTAGGTTTCTGTTGATTTCTGTTGATTTTTGTGGAATTTGTTCCCTGCAACAAAACAGATTCCAAATGCAATGGAAATTGTGATTGCATGGCTGGGCTGCCTGCCGCTGGGCATTGCTGCAACCAGAATCCTGTTATGTTCTGGTCAAAAGTGGTGGCAATTCCATCTGCGGCGACCAGGCGGATGCCTCTCCATGTCACCAATGTCAGGAGTCGAAGTGGGGATCGCTTGGGGATTTTTGGACAGACCGAAAATAGAGCGCACTCTTGGCCTGGCTGAGAGTGTTTCAATTTATTTTTCATATTTTTGTTTAACCGCTTTTTGTTTTACTTTCCCATCGCTGCAGTGTGGGGGGGGAGGGGGGCTCAAATTCCCCCAGCACACACAGCAGAATGCCAAAAGTTAAAATAAACAGCAATAGACAGCAAAAACGCAGGAGGATAGAGCCAGGAGCCAGGACAACAGGCAGGAAGGCAGGAAACACTTGAAAAAAGTATGCCAACAATATTTCTGCCATCTCGCTGGCTCTCTCACTCTCACTCGCCCTCTCTCTCTTTCTATCTATCTATCGCTGTGTGCTTTTGTGCTATTGAAAAGGAAATGAATGGCAGGCAGAAAAAGTTAAATCACCTCCAGCAATTGGGCTCTGACTGTGGCTCTGTGGAATGGTGGAACGGGGGTTGGGGGGGGGGGGACTGGTGGCTGTGTGGCACACCAGCAGCCGCTGCTCTACGGCTCCCTCGGGTGGCGTATGCGCAATATTCGCGCATCGGCCCCTAAGCTGCGGCCTGAGCCCTGGAATTTGTCGCATTTTCTTGGCCTACACTTTCCTAGAGTATAACGACTTCGATCCCAACTTTGGAGAGCTTCGAAGGAACAAGTTTCAATATCTTTTTGATGGGAATCAATATGGAAACTTAGACCCTTCTTTTCCAAAGAAAGGGTAACAAATCCTTCGGTTATTGGGTTCCAGCTTTCCATTTCTTATGTTCTTGCTTGATTTTATTTGGTTTTTTGTTTTTTGTCTTGTCGATTTTCTATTTTCTATTTGCTGTGGGAAATTGCTTTCAATAATGACGGAAAAGTGTTGTGCTGGTGGGACACGGGCTTAATGGCTGCTGCGTCGCTCTGGAGATGTTCGCACTTATCCTTCAGTCGCTCCTTCATTCAGGCAATTGGAATGCACTCATCGTTGTGTTGGGCATCAATAAATTGCCACGTTGCGGTGCGAATCCTGGCGTGTCCTTGGCCACACACACACACGCACACAAACACACCTCATGTGCATGTCCGGCAGCGCCTTCCTGCCTTCCAGCCTTCCTGGCTACTTATGCAGTCCGTTGTGTCCGCGTGCAATGCCAACGGCAGGCTCATCGTCATTTGCATTTGTTCAGAGGACGGACAGAGGACGGCCAGAGAGGTCCTGGTGCCGGTGAGTGGAATATATTAATATATTTCGCATTTCCATGGCTGCAAACATCCTTAATGAAAAGGGATCCCACACACACACGTCCATATCGATTCGTTTAATCACGTTCACGCCTGCTTGCTTTTTTTAATTTATAATTTTGAGTGCTTCAAGTACGTAACTCGCCAATGCCATACGTTCTTTCAACTTTGAAGATAATCCATCAAGAGAGCATACATTTCGGAAGAGTTTCCACGGGGTTTTGCCCCAGGCCGATTGCCAATCATTGTATGGAATGCAGTGGAAACATATGATCCCCCTTTCGCGGGAATTTTAATTAAAAATCAGCAATAAAATACAAGTGTGTCGGAGCCCCTAAAAAGTTTCATACAAATTCGTCGATGCTCTTAAGCCCAATTCAATTCGAAAAGTTAAAGAACGGTTTAAGGCAGTGGAAAATGTGTTTGCAACACGTACGTCTTTCGGGTGCCCCAATAAAAGCCCAAGCCATAAGTCAATAAAATGTGAAAGGGAAAACTCCACTCGAAACGTTTCCCAATGATAGGGCCCAGAGCCCAAGGGCTATGAATTTCACATGAAGGAAGGACAGACAGCCCATGGATATCTAAATTTCCATCACCGAAAATGTTTGTTGAATTTCAGAACTGCAGAAGGGCTGCTGCGCAGGTCAAATCCCCTTTTGTTTGGGCTATAAAAGTGTGTATAGTATTTTTTATTTTAATTACACGAAACACGAAAAGCAGCCCAGATTTCATTCAGATTTATGGAGGGCTTACAATAACAAAAATCGAAATTAAATCTGGCGGAAAATCTGCGACTGTGGAAATTAATGAGAAATCTCATTCGAACGAGGAGAACAAAATCAATTACTGGCAGACTCTGGACTCTAGATATCTTTCACCTGAACGACGAGCGCGAAGGGGGAGTAGGCCGTCTTGAGGGTGACGAAGAAGACATTCAAATTGAGTTCAATGAGGCCCCCAGCCTTAATCACACGACTCCGGCCGACCAGCGTGAGCTGCGTGAAGATGAGCAGGTCACGGCGATGCTCCCGCGACTCCTCATACCATTTGCTGGAGAATATGGCATAGGGAAAACTTTGCATCTCTTCGGCGACCACGCTGGCGAAGTAGCAGGCGGGAAACAGCTGAACGCAGATCACGGCAATGAATATCATGTAGTAGAGCAGTGTGATGATGTCCCTGACGAAGAACAGCACATAGCACACAATGATGCAGAGACTGGCCCCAGAGCAACCCAATTGAACGAGCTGGGCGAGACTCACGGTGTGTCGCGTTAGACGATGGAGCCTGGAGCAGAGAAGGAACTAAAGTTCTGGCTGATTAAACGGATACTCTCCTACCTCATTAGTATTTTGTGCTGTTCTATGTAGTTCCAGAGCTGCTGATGATGATTAACACTAGGAGACTCCTCGTCCTCCTCTTCGTATCCCAGTTTTTGCATCCGCAGGCCCCACATATGGATGTGACCGCCCAAAAAGCATAGCGTCAGTGGACTAAAGGTGTCATTGGATACACCCTGAATGCCCTCCAGCACTAGGCAGATGCTCTGATATCCAAGGGCGATGGCATACAGATATCCATTCCCCTGCCAGTCGAATGGGAAATATGCGGGATACACCAGCATCCGATCCTCGGAGGCAATCAGAATCATCAGGTTGAGCAGAAACAAGACGTAGATGACCACAAAGCTGGCGTACAGACACCGCGTGAACCGTCGCGCCTGGCACTGCAAGTGATCCACGTAGTAGCGATGCTCCTCCTCGCTGTCCACGTATCCGTCCAATTCGATGAGCAGCTTCTGGATTTCCACAATCTCCTGCAGATGGTACAGATGGGCCACATGCTTGAGGCTGCAGGCCGCGCAAGTCATCGAAATGGAGAGGTTCTGGAAGAGCTCAGTGGAGGTGGGCTGCAGAGCCAGATTGACCAGCAGATGCACCGGAAACAGGAACGTCACGAGCAGATGCAGCAGCCCCACGTAGATCTGGACAGGACGCTGCGTGGCCCCGAAGAATGTGGGTGCCATCAAACGCATGCACCACCAGAAAGGCTGATAGACGCGAACACTATCGATGACGGCGGCCATCCTGCACCTAATGGAAGCGGCAGCCGCACGCTTGCCACCTTTTATGCGCAGCGTGTGGCATGAATATATACTGACGAAAATCAGTACAATTTTAATTTCTCAGTGTGGGCTAAATGACATTTAAACGGCGCCAATGCAATTTTCATAAAGCCTCCCGTTAATGGCCGTCCATTAAGCGGTAATTAAAATTAAATGAATATTCAAATTTCCACTTATTTTCGCAGCGACATGGCCAGCGTGAAGAAGGAGTAGGCCATTCGAATGGTGGCAAAGAACGCATTCAAACTAATGCCAATCATGCCGCCCGCCCTGATCTCCACCTTCGCCAGCGTGAGTTGCATGAATATCAGCAGAGTGCGACAGTACCCGCGGTCCATTCCCACCCAGTTGCTGGAGAAGATGGAGTCCGTCAGTCGATTGAGCTCCACGGATATCAGGGTCCCATAGTAGCAGCAGGGGAAGAGCTCCAGCAGCATCGCCACAAAGTACACGCCGTAGTAGGTCATCGCGAAATTGTTGTCCGCAAAGAACAGAATGTTGACGAGCGTCATGGAAATGTTGATGCCACTCGAGATGAATTGTCCGAGCTGCGAGAGGTGCATGGTGCTGCGCAGCAGTTGCACGATTCTGGAAGATATATCTTTAGAAGCCGGACAGATACGCGTATGCGCTTACTTCATTAGCTTTCTGTGATCCTCGATGTTGTCCACCAGCTCTCTGACGACTGTCTCCTTGGGTAATTCCCTTTTGTAACCCATCCGATTCAATCGCATGGATAGCAGCCTCACATGCCCTGCAATCACACAGAATGTCATGGGGGGATACGAATCGTTGGCTAGGTTCTGCAGAATTTGTAGACTGACGCCAGCAATTTGGTAGGACACACTGAGCCAGTAGATCTGTTCGGATGCCTGAACATTATAGGGAAACCAGGCAGGATACAGCAGCTTGTGTCCTTTGCCGAAAAGAACAGTGGCTATGGCCGCCGCATTCGACAGGCCGTAGGCGACAATGAAACTCTTCCACACAAAATTCGCCTCACGCTGGGTGTTTCGGTCAAAGAACGCCCGCTCCTCCTCGGTCAGAGCCCTCTGATCCAACTCCAGGAGCAGTCCCTCGATGCTCCTGATCTCCTCCAGTTTCCAGCGAAAGCAGACAAACTTGAAGCTGGCGAAAAAGCAGGCCGCTGTGATGGGCAAACCTTTGCACACATCTCCCAATGTTGTCTCGTAGAACAGTCCCACAATCAGATGAATCGGATACCAGAAGGTCACAAAGATGGTGATTAGTATATCGAGTACTTGCAGAATCAAGTGCTCGCCCCCCACACCCAGCAGACGCCAATAGAGCCAATAGGTTCTATAGATGTCTTCACTCCTGACAACCGGCGAGGATAAGTCCATTTTCTGAACAGTGGAGCAGCCACCATGACGGCTGCCGTTTTATAGAATCGGTTAAGGTGTTACACGCCTATCATTTGATGAAGGTCCACCCACTATTACTCGTGTGTGAAACCAATCATTATCATTATTAGTGTTAAACACTTAACACCTGCTTTGGACTTGCTCGAAGGTGCCCAAAGGCTTTGTGGGAACCTCCCGCTGGCAGGCACTTTCACGGAAAATTCTAGGTTTTTAAGCCTTTTACGAGTAGCCGATGAAGAGTACCAGTTGCAGAGTTATACCCTTTCAAAGGGTGTTTCAATTTTCTCTAAAGCGAAGCCTCTACGACCCCATCAAATATGTGCATGCATATGTGTGTTCTCAGTGTATTTTGGTCTGTTTGCTGTCCAAGAATTCACTACGAGATTGCTTGCAGTGTTATTTTCTGTTGCCTTCCTTACGATTTACCGTTTGTTAGTGTCCATTGTCTGTCCCATTGTTGTGCATGTTTATTCTTGTTCATCGCTTGTCCTATCACTGTGGAGGTGTTGAGAGAGTGAGAGAGTGCGCAGGCAGAGAGACGACTCGCTCAGAGATGATCGAAAGGGACAAAAAGAAGAGAGCGCGCGTTGACAGTGTTCCTCTGAGGCATTGTGTGTGGGTTAGACAGAGAAAGAGCGACACGGTAGGCCAGGATTGTCTTTGAAGGATGGTTTGGCAATGCTCTGAGATTAGTTGAGTCATTAGAGTCCCAGACAGTTGCCCCGCGGAGTATTTCGCTGTTTGACCTATGTACATATTTCAATGGCAACAGATCCGAATTCTATTAGAGACCCGAAATACATACTACATACAGTAACGAGGGGGAACGTTGTGAGTTGCTGCGGACACCGCAACTCTACGGTTATACCCGATACTAAGTCAGTATGGCTCTCCTCTGGCAGATGGCGCTAATATTTAACGACACGACAAAGAGTGCGTGCGAGAGAGACAGAAAATCAGTCTGAGCGTGACGTCGGGCGCTGCGTAGCCACTGCAAATTGATTTGTTCCTTTTGGCTATAAAAATGATCTGATCTGATCCAGATTCAGCAATCTAATAGATATGGTCATTATCTATGATTCTGCGTTTTTAGTTTTCTCAAATCTGCAATATTGTGGATGCAACAGATTTTCGTCCTTTGTGGGGGCGGATGGGGGTGGGGCGAAATTCTGAGATATACGTTTTATAGTGACATCTTAAAGGAGTGTGTGCACCAAATTTGGTTACTCTAGCCTTAATAGTCTCTGAGATTTGTGGTTGCCTCAGATTTTCGTCCTTTGCGGGGGCGGAAGGGGGTGTGGCGAAATTTGGACAGGAAACGGTCAAGGTCCGATATCACAGGAGTGTGGATACCAAATTTGGTTGCTCTGGCTTTTATAGGTTCTGAGATCCTTGAACTCATATTTTGCAATTGGCAAAACCGACCATGAAACCTGTGTGTTAGAGTGAGACAGAGCGAGAAAGAGTGAAATTGTTTTCGTGATTCTGGCTGTAATAATTATACGATCTGGTTCAGATTTTGCACTCTAGAAGATATAGTCATCTTCTACGATTCTGCGTTTTTAGTTTTCTCGTATCGTCGAAATTGTGGATGCCACAGATTTTCGCCCTTTGTGGGGGCGGAAGTGGGCGGGGCAAAGTTTTGAAATATTTTTGGAGCAGTGACATATCACAGAAGTCTGGATCCAAAACATCGTTGCTCTAGCTCTTATAGTCTTTGAGCATTAGGCGCTGAAGGGGACGGACAGACGGACAGACGGACGGACGGACAGACAGACAGGGCTCAATCGACTCGGCTATTGATGCTGATCAAGAATATATATACTTTATAGGGTCGGAAACGATTCCTTCTGGACGTTACACACATCCACTTTTACCACAAATCTAATATACCCCAATACTCATTTTGAGTATCGGGTATAATTATGGTTTTCTGTTTTTATACAAAGTAGCCTCTATCTTTTAAAATAGTCCCAATCAAATGTAGCACTTTTGTTAGTGTACGTGTAGATAAATACTAAAAAAATACCATATAAATACTAGGTATCATTGGGGAAAATAGAGAAAAGTATTTGATCTAAGAGACTTGAAGAGATAGAGAAACCTGCGCTAAATATTTTTTGGTATTTTCTGGTATAAAAATAATATTTCTTGGTATTTTCGGTATTTTCTGGTATTTTCTAGTATTTTCTGTTATTTCTGGTATTTCCTATTAATTTCAAGTATGTATTTTTCTCTTTGTATTGAGTAGAATAAATAAACTCCACGGGTCAGACGCTCTACCATTTGGCGGCCCCCAAGCAAAAGAGGAGAAAACAGGAACAACACAACGAGAATTTCCTCTTTTCTGCTCTACTAATGTTTTATGTAATTTATGATGGGCATAACTTTCCTCATGAATGCCTGATACTCAGTTTCCAGAATGCTTGGAGCTCACTGGACAAGTACACTGCGAAAAACCCAATAAACGTCGATGGGGAAATCATGTCACATTCTCAATTGAAATCTTTAATTTGTGAGTTTTTCTCAGTGTTGAATCTGGTCCGAATAAATGAAATTTAAGCGGCCACAATGCAATTTTCAGAAGGCCTCCATTAATATCCGCCATTAGGTGGTAATTAAAATTAAACGAATATGCCACGGAATGCCACTCATTAACGGAACGACATTGCCAGGGTGAAGAAGGAGTAGGCCATTCGAATGGTGGCAAAGAATGCGTTCATGCTGATGCCGACCATTCCGCCCGCCTTGATATCCACCTCCGTAAGCGTGAACTGCATCAGTACGAGCAGAGTGTGGCAGTATCGTCGGCCCATTCCAAGCCAGTTGCTGGAGAAGATGGCATATGGCAGCTTATGGAACTCCATGGACATCAAAGTGCCGTAGTAGCAGCTTGGAAAGAGCTCCAGTACCATGGCCATGAAGTAAACCACATAGTAGATAATCGCAAAGCCGTTCTCCGCAAAGAAAAGTATGTTGATGAGGACAATGGAAATGTTGATGCCACTGGAGATGAATTGTCCAAGCTGTGAGAGGTACAGTGTGCTGTGCATCAAGCGGACAATTCTGAAAGGAAAATAATTAGAAAAGAATGCCGGGCTAAAGAGACAGCTCTTACTGCATTAGCTTCCTGTGATCCTCGATATTTTCAATGAGTTTCTTTGCATTTCCATGCTTTGATGCCTCGTCGTGGTGTCCCATTCGTCTCAGGCGCATGGCCAAGAGTCTCACGTGTCCAGCAACCACACAGAATGTCATCGGGGGATACGAATCATTGGCCATGTTCTGCAGAATCGTAAGACTCGCTCCAGTGGCCTGATAGGCAAAACTAAGCCAATATCTATGGGCTGAGGCTTGGACATCGTAGGGAAACCACGCAGGATATATCAACTTTCGTCCGCTGCTGAACAAAACAGAGGCTGTTCCCGTCACTGTGGCCGATATTCCAGCTGCCACATAACTTTTCGATATAAATTCCGCCACACTTCGAGTATTCTGATGAAAGAATACACGCTCCTCTGGACTTACGGCTCTGTGATCCAACTCAATGAGCAATTGTTCAATTTTCTTGATCTCTGCCAGTCGCCAGCGAAAGCAGATGATTTTAAAGCTGCAGAAGAAACTTTCCGCTGTGAAGGGTAGATTCTTGCACACATGCCCAATGGTCCGCTCTTGGAACAAGCCAATGATTAGATGTGTGGGATACCAAATGGTCACAAAGAAATTGAGTATTACATCGAGTAGATATCGCAATGGATACTCGCCCTCGACACCCAGGAGACGCCAGTAGAGCCAGTAGGTTCTATAGATGTGTCCACTCCTGACATCCGGTGGGTCCGACGCCATGTTCACGACAGTCTAGGCTCCTCCCAGACGGTTGTGGCTCTTATAGTCGGGCCTAGGAATAATTAATTATGACACCTTTGTTGGGTGGGCGTAATTGTTGACCCCATAATTACACTTAATAAGTTTTTAACCTTTTCACACTTGTCTTTATATAACTAATTATTTAAAATGACTGTGGGTATTCCGACGTGCCTCTGGTGGTAGAGTTTCACGCAATTGCGACATGCTCACACGCACAATTTCGTTATCTTTGTTGGATTCGTTCGATTATTTATTCTGCTCTACCATTTCGCCACCATATTTTAAGTTAACAATTTCGTAACTAAATGAACTTATTTTCGCAGCGACATGGCCAGAGTGAAGAAGGAGTAGGCCATTCGAATGGTGGCAAAGAACGCATTCAAACTAATGCCAATCATGCCGCCCGCCTTGATCTCCACCTTCGCCAGAGTGAGTTGCATGAATATCAGCAGAGTGCGGCAGTACCCGCGGTCCATTCCCACCCAGTTGCTGGAGAAGATGGAGTCCGTCAGCCCATTGAGCTCCATGGATACCAGGGTACCATAGTAGCAGGATGGAAAGATCTCCATTAGCATCGCCACAAAGTACACGCCGTAGTAGGTCCTTGCGAAATTGTTGTCCGCAAAGAACAGAATGTTGACGAGCGTAATGGCAATGTTGATGCCACTCGAGATGAATTGTCCGAGCTGCGAGAGGTGCATGGTGCTGCGCAGCAGTTGCACGATTCTGGAAGATATATGTTTAGAAGTTAGACACAAAAAGATGACAGATAGTTCCAGATGTGCGCTTACTTCATTAGCTTTCTATAATCCTCAATGTTGTCTTTTAATTCTCTGACAATGAGCTCCTTCGGCTTTGTGAGATCATATCCCATTCGACTCAACCGCATGGATAGGAGTCGCACATGTCCAGCCAGCACACAAAAGGTCATCGGTGGATACGAATCATTCGCAAGATTCTGCAGAATCGCCAGACTATGCCCAGCTGCCTGATAAGAGAAACTAAGCCAAAAACGCTGATCCGATGAATAGACATCGTAGGGAAACCAACCGGGATATAGCAGCTTTCGTTCACGATGAAACAGGCCAAACGCTGTGCCCGTTATAATGGCCAAGACGGCGGCCACGAGAAGGCTTTTCCAAATGAATTCCGCCACACGGATCGTTTCCCTATAAAAGGACGAACGCTCCTCTGCAGTGGCTATTCGCTGATCCAACTCCACAAACAGCTGTTGGACTTTCTTGATCTCTGCCAATTTCCATCGGAAGCATATGATTTTGAAGCTCGAAAAAAAGCAGGAGGCCGTGATGGGGATCCCTCTGCAGACCTCGGCCAAGGTTCCGTCGCAAATGAGGCCAACGATTAGGTGTATGGGATACCAAATCGTCACAAAGAAGAACTGCATAATAAGCAGTAGATAACGTAGTGGATGTTCGCCCTCGACGCCCAAGAGACGCCAATAGAGCCAGTAGGTTCTATAGATATAATCACTCGCGATAACCGGCGAAGGCAACTCCATGCTTGAGACAATGGAAAGGCCATCGCAAAGTTTCTGCTCTTATATTTAGCTCTGGGGAATAATTAATTATGACATGTGTATGATTAAATAATTAATTAACCACAATTACACAGCGTTAAACACTTTTAAGCATGCAACGTCTGTTCTGTAATAATCAGAAATGGGCAAAGGATTAATTGAAAGAGTTATCGAGAGTGTGAGGCTAGACAGCTCGTCCTCCCAGACAGTGAAGTGCCTCTTGGGAGTAGGGGCCTTAAAATATTCTTTATAAAAGTTGCTCCTTTTCTTGTAATCTCTGTTTTATTAGCACGGAGCTCCGTTGCAACGGCAGCGGCACGGACAAAGTTGCCTTAATTCGACATTAATATCTTCCAGTTGCAGCTGCTGCTTCTACTGCCAAATGACGGGGCAAAGGGCTAGGACCAAGTTTTTTCTGCCGAGGTCATTTATGGTTTTAAGAAGAGCCACTGAGACAGAGACCGACGAGAAGCTGCATATTTTGCACTCGTTTTATGGCCTGTACTTTGATTGTCATTGCTTTATGACCGCCCCAACCATCGATGGCTCTTGCATGCAAATTTCCACAGAGCAAGACATGGTTTTAGCTGACATTGTCTTCAGCAGAGAGGCTCCTCCTAAGAGAAGGGAAAGCCTCCTCCCTCCTCTGAAAAGAGAGGCCATGTCAAGAGCATTTTACGCTTACTTATCTGTGTGGAGTGCACATCCTCTCATCCCCCTGTTCTGTGTGTGTGTGTGTGAATTTTCGACAAAAAGTTCACTTTTTTCGTTTGGTTTAACTCTGCGTATACGTAATCTCACGAAATGAGGAACCGTGACAATGACGTGAGAATACCGCAAAATAAAACGTGGAAACAAAAAAGTGGAGCAAAGTGGACGAAAGTCAGTGCTAACACCTTGAGATATCCTGTAATGAAAAAAAAACACTTAAGAGCTTCCCTTTCCTGTAGGAGGAATCAATACATATTTTATTTATTGCTTTCAATGTTTGAGTACATCGTTTCAAGATGTTTAACATATACCTAAAATGACGAGTAATGGAAGCAAGTAATAAAAGGAAGGATTTTGATGGATGGACTGAAGCCAATGAAGACTCCAGGAAGAATTTGTCTCGGTCGAGCAGAGTCTGCAGAATATACAGGTGGTTGAAAGCTGTGGGTCTCAGAAAAGCACTAAGAACTGTATAATTTTATAACAGCTGTATAATTCGGGGACAGATATTTCTTCACACTCCCATTTACATTTAAACTCCAAGAATCACATTCGAAGTCGGCTTAAATCTCGCTCTTATGATCCTCTCTCTGAGCGACTCCTGCAGTACTTACTTAGGCAAAGGACAAGAGTAACGGACAGAACATTTGAGATTTGAGTCCATTCATGCACTGAGAATAATCCTACGACCCGACCACACACAAAACCCATATACCCTTACGACCAATGGGCACAATAAAGGTGAGGGAAGGAAAGGGAAGGGACAGGAAGAGCAGTTAAAACTTTTTGCGGTTTCTCTCCGCCCACTCCACTCCACTCCACTCCAGGGGCAAAAATGTTGCAAAAGTTATTTGATTTGGAATTTTTGTTAAAGTTTGTTGCCTTTTCTATACGATTTTTCGACTGCTGCGAATGTGTTTTACTGTACAACTAAATTAATGAAAAATCACAACTGTGTGCAAAATGTAATTTAATCTGATATCTTATTTTTTTTTCTGTGCTGTGACGAGGCTCGAGGGCAAATGGGGCACGTGGCATTCGATAAACTTTCGCAGGAAAGCGTCTGACAGTTTTCAAACATTTATCAAATGGCAGAAGTGAGTCCCCCCACAAAAACTTCGAGCTTGTCGTATTGTTTGTACTGTAATTTAATTGATTTTTCCTCTTAGATATTTTTTTGTGCAAGTGTCTAGCTTTTATTAGCATTCCGCGCCACAAAAAGCAAACAAGAAGGAAACATCAAGTAAACAATTAAATGTTCATTGGGAAACTGCTGCAAAATGCATCATTTAATAGTTTAAAGCCCATAAAACAGATCCCTTTCATCTCTAGAGCCAGGAAAGAAAACTATATCTCTGTCCATTTTGTTTGGCAAAAGCCAATGTAAATTTTTTGCTGAATATATTTTGATAAATAAATTTAAATGTGTATAAAACAGAACTTTGCAGGGAATAGAATTTTCATCTGTTAAGTATCTTTAGTTTTATGTGCTTTCGGTTCTGAGAAATACTCTGTATGGCTGATTGATAGGTTAGATACTTGGGGTTTCATTATGGCCTCCAATTTCCCCTAGCCTTATTCCAAGTCTTTTGTTTATCTCCGTTTCGAGGGCATTGTGTCAAGTATTTATCGCTTTATCGCTTTATTGCTCGTTCCGTTATGCTTTGTTCAACTCATTTTAAACGATTTTTCACTGCGAAAATATATAGTACGTACTACGTATTCCCAGGAACAGCGCACAACAAAATTGTGTTTATGTTTTCGCTTGTGGTTTGATATTTTCTAATTTTTTAACCACCAGGTGGTCAGGGGGGGGGTAAAGTGGAGCCAAGAAATCGCCCAGCTGCGTTTGTTTACTTCGGTCTAGTCCCGGGGGGCGGGGTGTCTGTACGATTATCTGTGGGTGCTGCAGCCAGAGGTGTAGCGCCAAGGGGGGCTTCCAGAAAGAAGATAGAAACCCCCTTGGGTCGCCGCTCCTCTTGCCTTCCTCCTCGTTTTCTGTGTATCCGCAGTACTTGCGGCAAACTCTGCTAATCGTCTAATTTTATCATGTGGTTTTCCCCATTTAAGTGCCTCCAAGTGTTGAACGATTTGTAGTGTAGTTCTCTTATTTTCTCCAGACCACATGCCCAACGCCCCGCTCCCCGCTCCCCGCCCCTCGCAAGTGGCTTTCCCTTTGCTGGAATTCCTTTCGAGTGCATTTTGCTTCATTCTTTGCTTATCATTAGGGTAAGTGCTTGCTGCACATTTGACCTTGCCACGCCTACTCATTAGAGGGTGAATAAATGTATGAATGTGTGACCAGGCCCCCCCAGGCACCCAAAAAGGGGTTTTGTTCTGTATGAAAATTAATTTGAATGCCAGAAAAGTGGATGTCGAGCGAGAGCAATGCTGGTCACGCGCTTTTCATATTTGTTAGCTTCTCAAATTGCGCATACGCCCTGTCTGCCGGGCTGCTACGCTGGCAATCAATCAAAAATGCGCTAACATTACGGAGCCTGCCGCCCGAATCCGATTGCGGGCTGTCCTTCGTCCGTGGCTCATCTGCGGAATCCGTACAATGTTTCCGGCTACAATTTAGCACCGCGTGGCTGCCAAACAAAAGTTTCGCTTAGTCAGAGGCCGCTCCGCTTGCGACACAGAAGTTTTGGGTCGCCGTAAAGTTTGCCCCACGAGTGGAATGGAATGAATTTCGAATGATGGAAATAATTTCTATTCATACTGGAAGATGATGCTGAGATTTGGTAGAACTTTTGGAGACGGAAATGTGGCACCTTCAAGGGGTAGAATCCACAGAATCTATCGCCTGAAATCCAATCCCATTTGAGATGTAATAAATGACACCCTTTGGGCTATGTAATTCCCCTTCAATCACACCTTTCTCAATGGTTATCCCCATATGTCCAGATCAGCTGTTATATCTCTAACTGTCATACTAGAAACCTTATAATTGCTCTATTTCTATGTGGATGGAGGCGTTGTTCCATTTCCTTTCGACCAGCATATCGTTGTCGTAGCAGACGCCCACAAATGCAGACATTTCAATTGTTGTCAGTGCCAAATAATGTTTGGGGGTCAAGCCTCAACCGTTCGGGACATTATTTGGCACTCGAACGACTGGGTTCTGAGCCTCTGCTCTGCTCGTCTATCCTTCTCTGTAGTCGAGCCGCCTTCGAGAGCTGCCTGCCGCATGCTCCTTCGACACATCCGTGTCGACGTGGTCGTCATCGTATCCGTAGCACAAAGCCTATGAAATATGAAGCAATTGACGTGAAATTGATTGTTCTGCTCCAAGCAGTGCGTGCCCAGCTCTTTCCCTATCTTTCTCTTTCCCTCAGTTCTCTCTCTCGCTCTTTCTGCGATGGCATCTTGCGGTTTCCCGTTTGCGCTTTATTAACTACAACAACCATAAACTGCAGGGCATGCCACTACCCTCTCTGTACCACATGCCACGTCCTATCCCCCCACCTCTCCATCAGAGCCAGAGCCAGAGTCTGTACGAGTACGTCTGCCTCTTCACCGTGTGCCACACTCTGCCCCACAGAGCGGCTGCCTCTCGCTTATCGCTCATTTTACACGCTGCCAGCTATGCTAGGCGTTGCCGCAAAATTCCTTTCAGTTGGCATATTTTACGTGCCAGGACGACGGCCAGGAGACCTCCTGAGTGCTCCGCTGCCAGGAATTACGCTACTAAGTTCTCTATCGAACTATTTGTACTTGCAGGATTCTATGCCATTCCCTGGCGTTCGCTCCCTTAATTAATGTGATGACTTCGGGGTCAAACAAAAGGTCCAGAGCATCATCAATACATGGGGCACTGGGCGCTGGGCACTGAAGGGCAATCATTCATCACGAGATGAAAAGGGCACAGGGTTAGCATTGGTCGAGGAAGGTACAAACCATGTTCAAGTTTCAAGTTATTCCTAGAGGAAGGGTTGTGTTTCTAGAACTCTGGATTCCCATCGAAGGTTAGGAAGTGAAAGGAACTGTGCAGTTAGATGAGGAATTGTTTCGATAGTTTTTAAAAGTATTCCCCTTCCCTTAGTTACGAAACACATTTTGTGGCCACATCTTTGGACACTCGAATACGGCAGTTTTTCCTGAGTTTTTAAAGTCTCAAATTCAAAATTAGCTGCCATTCAGCCAGCGACCAAATCCTTCGGCTTTCACCATATGTCAGACATTCCTCAACCTGCTTAGGGCCTTAAGGACGACAACGGCAATGGTTGGTCATTTATTCCCAACCCAACGCCCAACGCTACTCGTACTTA